CAGCTCTTCCCCACAGCCCCAGCCAGGCTGCGCAGATGTCCAGCCCATGGGGGCAACTGTTACTGCTGGGCTCAGCTAAACCAGTCCTGAGCAATGCTTTGTACTGCCACAGAGGGACACGCAGCACCTCGGCACAGGGCTGGTGGTACCTGGAGGACATGTTCTCTTCCAGATCTCCTTGCCCATCAACAGTCCCCTGACATCCTCTCCTTCACCTCTCACAGTCCTGTGTGCCGGCAGGACCCGCAGTGACGCTTTCTTTCCCCAAGCCTCACTCTGTAACTTTAGAAAGGTCATTCCCTCTTCCTTGAACCACAGGGTTATCACAATTCCTTGGAGCAGAGCAGAAGGGATCTTGAGAGGGGAAAAAAACTACCTTCTCCTGAAGAAACATGATACTCCAGCACCACTCTATCCCTCAGAGAGAGGGCAAGAGACAGGTGGTCCAGAGCAGGGGACCACATAATGTCCCATCTCCCATTGAATGCTGCTGGCATAAGGACTGGCAGGGAAGAGGCAAGGTGCGTAAGGAGCTGGCTAAGGAAGGGGCTCTGTCAGTCACAGGGAGAGTTGTCAAAACCAGCAGTGTTTTGCCTCAGAATGCTGTAAAAAAGACATCCCTCAAGCTGGAGCATTGGAAGAAGTCAGGCAGTGGGTGGACACTGTCCATGTGCTGCCAGTTTGAATAAAGACTCAGTTCAAGGATATTCACAACAAAGAATTGTCTGGAGGGACCAACAAGTACGAGGTACTGCTTCACCTGGCATTGCAGATGCTGCTCTAGACACCCCTCCTCTGGAAGGATGGAACTGACCTGTAGCAGGTACAGAGTAGGCTTGTAAGCGGTCATTCTGAGTGTGCAGCTTGTTTCATCTAAAACAGGAAAGCTTGAGGGTGAACAGGATCCATGCATCATAAATATATGCTAGGGCAAAAGTCTAATTTGTTCTCCTAGAAGCTCATCTGGATCACAAATACATTTAGAAAAATTAGAAAGAAGTTCCTAGCCAGCCATGGTATAAACTTCTGCGACAGCCTGTCAGGCTGGAAGGTGGGCAGAAGAAGCCTAATTTGGTAAGAGACTCAGCAAGCTGGTAGTCACTGCATGGCAGGAGATGAGAGAGCCTAGAATGAGCCATACACACGTCTGAAATGAAGCTTGAAATCCTGTCCTCAAGCTAGTCCCCAGAGGTAGTGGTACAGAGCTGAAACCTCAATGTCCTGCATCCTCCATAGGTTATATGTTATTAATGTGGTGCTTCAGGGTCCTCCCAGATCTTTGAAGAGGCAAGAAAGAGGTCACCTCTTTTCCTTCTGCGTTTTTAGAAATGAATTTGCTTCGTGTCTGTAACCTTTCCAGCCAAGGTTGGAGTGAGGCAGGGAAGGAGGAACAGGGCCACTCCTGCTGCTCTTAGTCATGCTTTGGGTGTGCTGCTTTGCCTTGCTCACAGGCTCAGGACAACACCAGCTCTAGGGCCAGGGAAGCTTTTCCCTCAGGCTTAGTGTGCTGGGGCAACACCTGGGGAGCTTGAGCTGTTGTTCACTGTGGCAGCCAGTGCCCTTCTGGGACCTTGGTGATATTTTCCCTATTGCAGGAGCTCGGGGGACACTAGAGACACTTTTGCTCTCTCCCCCTCACTCCTGCTACTGTTCATATCATTAGGCTTTTGTGGACCTTCACCACAGGAAGCCAGAGGGTGCCTTTATCCGAGGCGGTCAGGCGGTTCCCTGGATAGTCCCTAAATGTCCTGACGCGGGCAGATCAGAAGGACAGGAGTCAAAAATCTCTGTTTCAGCGTGGCACGGAGCCCGCATTGCCACGACGTGACCCTCAGCCTTGTGATCAGCTGTTCTTGCCTGCCCCTTGTCCCCCTCAGTGCTGGGTCAGCCGGGCACAGCCGTCCTGGCGCGGGACCCTCGGTGAGGGCTGCGGGGGTGGTCAGCTAGGGGTGTGCGGAGAGCTGTCAGATCCCAGCAGGTGCCGCAGCAGGAGGCAGAGGCTGCTCCTTAGCTGCTCGCCCCAACCGAGGGTGGCCGGCCCCGGCGGCCCGGGTCCCCCCAGCGGCCCAGGACCCCCCAC